CATTTCGCAGATTCTTATCTGTGAAAGAGAAAATGAACAAGAACCCCCAGCGTCATTTAAGAAAAACGACAAGGATGAAGATAAAAAATCAGAAAAACAAGAACCTTACCTGTGGCCGCACGGAGGTACTCTGAGAATATGCTAAATATTGAAAATATTAAATGTTTGGCATAATTTGCTTCAAGTGACTTTGAAGAATTTCATCAATCAAATTTTTGAATACATTGCAGCGAGTTGTATTAATTCGTCTTCTCAATTAACACAGTGGCTTGTGACACAAAACAGTCTTTTATTTTAATCCTAAGTTTGTACTTCAGTCGCAAAAGCTATAATCAGGGATACTGAGCAGAAGATAAATAATGCCACACAAAACAAGGAACAGGAAATTAAAAACAATGGGGTGGATAAGCAAAATTTTACAGATATGCAGAAAGAGGAACTGTGATGAAAGTTTTGAGAGGATCTGTAACTTGACGCGGAGGGGGAGGAGAATACTGGAAAAATACTCCGAAATATTATATTATGCATTACTGCATTTCATTTGAAAGGAAATAAAGGAAAAATCACATTTTGAATCACTCCATGCAAAACAAATCTGAAAGAAATGGCGCACAACCGTTTTACATCCATTCTACGTTGAGCAAAATATATAGTAGCCCCTGAACAAAAATCCCATGCTTGTCCTTGTCATTCTAGACACATTAATTTCATTACTGCTGAGATTATGTTTATGCCCTAAAGTGTGGTCTGTAATGCTGCTATATGGCAAATGATACCTCCTAATGGCATGTTACTGTATTTTATGGGTGTATCTCTTATCTTGCCAATATAAGTGTGATATCTGCGTTCAACAATACATATGATAAATTGCAATAGACCTCTCAGGGCTGAGCGAAAAATTGAACCTGTAACGAGAGTAGATCAAAGATGATGGTGAACTTTTTGAAGAACGAGAAGGCCTTGTTTTTATAAAGGAGTCGTGAAAGTAAAAAATATTGAGCGCAAAAAGCGATTGGTTTGTCGAACATAACGGATAATGCATATGCATTACCTTTGATGTGGTTTCGGTTATGCTGAAAAATGTGGGTTCGTATGTCCGAGTACGTTAAATGCTTAGCACCTCCATAACCGGATCTGATGTTCATAATATTAAAACTCATATTTTAATGCTAAGGAGAACAGGCTCCCAATAGTGCAGAGTGTGGGTCTTGCCAATAAAACGATGTGCCTATGCACTGCGCTTGCTTAAATATCACATAACTATGGCTGAATTTGCAGTAAATCACCGCTAATCTAATTTGAATTCACCACTATTAAACTGCAGAGTAATTACTGACCTCCTTAGCCTCTGCCTCAACTTATTCACGTTGTAATTAATAATGATACACAGGATAAGCTAAAAAAAGATGGTTATGCTGTTTACTTATTTATTAAATTTCTTCCCAACCTGCTGGCCGCCATTGGGCAAACAGCTTTTCATTTTAACCCTTGCTTGTGAATGTCTGGAGTCGCTGACCAAGTCCACGAATGAAACCGGCTGCTGCTGACAACTTTTAAAAGTCGCTAGGCGCAATCAGTGCCAGGATAAGGATCGAGGATAATGTCCTTGTGGCTTAACTGAACCTCTTTCTGTAATTTGCATATCAATTACTTTGCTGCACAATCACATTATTATGATTAACCATACCACATGTTAAGAACGAGTCTTCTCGATATGCATTTTAAATTTTTCGAACAGTTATTTAATTTTAGCTTTCTAGCAATCCCGTACTTGCTATATACATAGCAGACGAAGATACATTCTTTCAGTGTGTAGTTCTACGATATGTATTTTTCATTGTATCCTCTTTTCAGTGACTCGTCCGTTAAAAGACATTCGCAAAAGGCGATTCCGCAAAATTCAGAAGAATAAGGTACACAGCGACGGCCTCTCTCTAGATTGCAACTGGTGCGAGTTTTCTTTTTCAGCATATAGACCAGGAAGCGATCGACAGGGAACTGAAAATGATTTTACGTGCTGATATGGATGCAGCAAAAATGAGGTAGTCGTATTCAGTGCAACAGAATATTTTTGCTTTGTTTCGTTGAAGATTCCTGGAAGAAATTTTCATGATTGAGTAATGAAGAACTCAATTATTATTCTTCCTCGTTTAGTCATTTGTTAATTGCATTTTTTATGCTGCGTGTTTTCGCCAATTCTGTTTATCAGACTTGTTTTCGATCATGCTTTATGTTTAAATACGCGATGGGGGTGGGCTATCGACAAATTTCAGATCAGTACCTGGTTGCGTAAAAACAGAACCTTCCAAACTTAATGACGACTCATAAGACCGGTACATTTAAGTTTTCTTACCGAATGAGGTCGAAAACTTTCAGGGATAAGGGTTTGAGGAAACGGTTTCAATAAGAAGTATCGGTGATGTTTATTTAAATATTGAGCAAGGCCCCTGGCATAACGACAGAGCGTAAACCGCAGTCGAATTCGTGTCATCTCGCCGTGTTCTCTATAGGTTTGGCGTCGTGACACGGGATAGCGGAAGAAAGGAACCATCGGATAACCGGAAGTTAAGGTTGCCATCATGGCAGTGGATTAAGTATATTCAGCAATCTTGCGAACCAGTGATCGCTGGCTTTGCGTATACAGTACATTGATTCTTGTTAGGTTGCAGGATGGACAGACAGGAAGAACATTGGAAGAATTAGAGAACAACTTGACTTTGACTAACAACTGGCGCAAACATAGCATTTCCCCGACCCTCAGCCGTATGCGCACTCAAAAATGAGGTAGAAATCTTTTAGCAAGTTAAGAAGGCATCCTCTCTATCCATCTGGCAAACTGACGTCAGAAACTGTGACTAAAATTTCAGAATTTGAAAAAATTGTGAATTTTTTCAAGGTCAATTAATATTTTGAAGATTTTCAAAATCTCTCCAAATCATATGATAGTCGAACAGGCCCTTCTGGGAACGAATGTCATTTTCAAAGTGCCTAAAAGTACTATACCGATTGAGTCATTGAACGTGATATCGCATCTGTGAATATCATTGAGACTGACCTAGGTGACTTTCGTTTCAATCGCAAAACGACAGATCAGGTTTTAACTTTTAGTTGGATTCACGAAAAGTGCTGGAAGTGTACGAAGAGTGTAAGTTTTTTACTTTAAACTGATACTGCTGTGATTTAGGATGAATGAGGTCATTTCACCGAGTTATACGTCATGAATGCCCCGCCCCTTGCTTCTATTCGCACATGGGGACTATATATATCTGGAGAATGCTGTAGAAATGTGAGAATGATGGCCAACTAGTTCGATCATTAAATTTCGGCAAGAATCCTCTCTATCGTAAGCGATGACACGACGCGCGATGTCTTTCAGGGACTACATTGGTCTACTCGTACAGTATGCGTCACCGTTGCTGCTGCTTATAGACTTAATGGACGGGATCAGCATGAGAACCTAGGCGTGGGAAGCAGCACTGTTGGAAATCTTTACTTGGTTTATCTGCTGTAAGGAGTTGATGTTCACCTGCTCATGCGATGAGACAGGTTTGAAGACTGGTCTTACCAAATTCGAAACATTTTGCTCGTCTGAAAAGCCACCCAGACAACTGTTCATGCCAGTACGAGGTGTGCTACTGACACCATTCGAGAAGTTTGCATATTCTTTGGTAGCATCTATAAATGAGAATATGAGCAGCTGGAAATGAACGCACGAATAGTGAAACTATTCATATGTGTCATTGTAAATAACATGGTTGTGGGCGCATTTATTCATAATGCATGTGGGCAAACACATACGATCGTGAGGCGCCATTATGATGGCCGTGACACTTTCTGACAGTGTTGAACATGAATGACTCTCAGTGAAATCGTAATCCGGGTCACGGACGAGCCTGCTGTGGATTGTTGCTCAAGCAAACAATCAGCAGCCGTCTTTCGCTCGTTAAGGTAGCTACCTGAGGGCAACTTCGTTCTTCTGAACGGTTCTCAGTCAACTATGTTTGCATGGCGATGGCAATGTGGAATACGAGTTTCTCTGCCACGGTAAATCTTGCCCTGCATAAGCTAGACACCCGATTTGGCTTTAACAGATCCGTTGTTTGGGTTGTGTAGCCTATGCACCTGATTCGCGGATTTTGCAAGGGATCTTAAAATTCTAAATGTTTACTAGTAGCGCTGTCGCTCTCATCAAAGAAATATTTCATAGTCTGTTTGCTAAAACATTGTCTATCACGTTCTAAACGCGTTGGTTGTACAATTGCTTTTGAAAAATGTATGGTTGCCTACCGTGCTACCGAACAGGTTACTGTCTTGACCAGTTCTGCATGAAGAATCTACGGCGAAGGCATGACATCTGCAGGGGGTCTTCCATCTTACGGTTTCGCTGTGTCAATCCCTTCGGTCTGTTTTTGCCTCCTCTGCTTACCAATGTTCCATCAAGAATTTTCTTTCTTAGCCTCTGTTATTCAACTCCATTCCCAACTTTCCTCTTTGAAATAGTGCTGGTCGCAGCACAAAGGAAGGTATTGTTCAGGCGGGAAGTCACGGTTCACAATATCCTCTTGATTACGCGGGGATAATATTGTTCACGTGAGAGTAGCACGGAGAACTGGCTCTACGATCATACGGCTTCCGTATGCGACACGGCAGCGAAAACCTGCCTCTTCCGTAACACTCCGCAGTCCAAAGCTATGAGGAATCCATAACAAACACGACTGAGTTTCTGGAACATAGAAGGGAGGCAATTGAGAAATCAACCGGCATCAGTATCTTGTGTTGCTGTTCTCCACGGATACGCCATTCAGCCAGAATCAAATGGATAAATCGCCCTAGCCTCCTGTCAATATTTCAGTTGAAAAAGGAGTATCTGTTTCTGCAAAAATCGGCTTGTCCATGCCCTGTACCTCGTCAGGGTTGTTGTACGAAATCAAGACGTTTGAACAAAGATTAGACTGGGTGCAGCAGCGATAGCATCGACTGATAATCAGGCTTAAATTGCACTGCCGCATAAGGAATAACTCCATCCGGTTGCTGGCACGGGTGATCTCAGTAGAC